TATATATATTTTTTTTTATGTTTTGTTTGTATGGCCTTTTTTGCTTTTGGGACCTGATGAATACAGGGATGGAGAAAGGAAGGGGGTGTTGGGGTTAGGATAGTGAATGGAGGTGGGAGGGGGAGTAAAGGGGATGGAGAGAGAAAGAAAATGGATATGGAGTGTATTTTTAGGAGAGAGAGAGACAGAGAGAGAGAGTGGGAGGGTCTAGTCATGAGCATTGGGAGTGGAGAAATGTCAAGGGAATTTCCAGGGTAGTGGGTAGGTATTTGTGAGAATGTCCCTGGGGTGGACGACCTGCTCCATGCTCTCTCTACAGAGGAGTTCAACGGGAACTTTGATCCTGATGGGAGTTGTTTGGTTTTGCTTTTTTGTTGTTTGTTTGCTTGGTTCTTTTTTTTTTTTGTTTGTCTGTTTTTCATAGTTTGGGAAGTTTTGTTGTTTTTTTAAATCCTTTTTTTTTTGGTTTTTTGTTTGGTCTTTTTTGCTTTTGGGACTTAATGAATACAGGGCTGGAGAAAGAAAAGGGGCCAGTGTGTGGTGGGTCAATGGTCTTAAACACTGAATAAACTTGCTTGCTTACTTAATATCGGCCAATGTCCATCACTACTCAAAATGTACCACAGTTTAAGATTATTTGGAAAGTTTTATTCTAAGAGGGTGCGAATGACAAAGAGTGGGTGGTTGACGGATGTGGTTTGCTTCTTCTTTCCTATCAAACATCTATCGTCCTTATCTCCCCTTCGTCATTTTTGTGTTTGTTACTCTCTTGTAACGCCTCTAATCTTCTGACGCTCATTTGACCTTATGTCGTTACGAGCGCAGTAAAATCTCTATTTAAAAAAAAAAAGACTGACAAAGATGAACTTATCGTGGTTTAACTTAAGATGAACTTATTATAGTTCAATAATCGTTGATGAACTGATTATAGTTCAATAATCGTTGACCCTGTTAAGATGATCTTACCATGGTTCAATGAACTTCTGTTTTTGATCTCATAAATCAAGTGAGGAAGTGGTTGGCGGGTGGTCTAGTCTGTTTGCTCCTACTTTCTTATCAAACACGTATTGTCATAATCTTTCATTTTCTTTGCATCTTTCTCTCTAGTAAGATCTCTAATCTACAGCACTTATATGGCCTTACTGTAAAGTGTCGTAAAACTTTTCATAAAACTAACGGTAATCTGGTGAAAATTATTTAGTAGTGTTTGTTTTTTTCTGCTTTTAAAACAGAATTTTCACCAAATATTTTTAAATACTTCAACCATTCTGACTTGCAAAGTAAAACCAAAACCGTGCTATGAACCATCAAGAAAACAGCCAACTTGTGTCCCACGCTTTCATCTGACCATATTGGATAAGAATTTTAAAAAAAATTTTTTATTGACTTTTTAGTGTAAGACTCCACTATACACCATTCTGAACAGTGACATTTGATGATCCTGTAGGTTCTAGATCTACTGAGCAATTAATATGCAGTAATAAGCATTGTGAAACTTTTACAAAACTGAAACTGAAAGTGATTGCAATATCTGAAGTAACCAGCTGACACTTCTCTGTCTCAGAATGATAAAGTTGTATCTGCTCTGTGCCTAGTTTGAAAAAATTTGACATGAAAAATATTTAGTTTCACAACATATATTCGAATGCAATGTTTTGAATATCTGGATAAGGACTTCGAAAAAGTTTATGATTTTGATTGAGCAGATAGAACATGATTTGGTTTTTGACCTCGTGGTCTCAGTATCGCAAAACTATTAAGAATCTCAGATAGAACTTTGTAAGTCTGAGACTTTGTATGTCAGATAGAACTTTGTAAGTCTGAGACTTTGTATGTCAGATAGAACTTTGTAAGTCTGAGACTTTGTATGTCAGATAGAACT